ATGGTCTGACCCAGTATGGCACATCGTACATTAAGACAAGGAAACCCTTCAGTTAAGGCATAGCAGAAGCAAGCCCTACACGCGGCTAAATACAACCCAGCCCAGCCAGCTAACCTATAGACGGGCAGCACAGGAGACACCAGGGGATGATTCTATGCTACGTCAACACACGGCCGTTTTAACCACTGACATTAAAAAGTAGGGCAAACTTCTGTGTTGCAAGGTTTGTCTTAACTGGTTATTCCACCCAGACCTCCTTGCCAATTTTCTCCTGTGTCATCAGGGATCACATTTAATCTCACAGGAACGTGTCTTGATACATGTATATGTGTAGCAACACAGTCAAGACCTGTGTGTGTACCAAACCTGTTTGCTTGTACACTACAATAGTGCACTATTCAAACAGTCAGACACCAATGACAATCTCCTCCCATACACATGGTTTAATGGGAGGTCTTTTTTTCCACTGCTGGATCAAACTCTCAAGGCCAAGAGCAAATTTATCTGCATGCCTATCACAGTCCAATGGACTTTCTCCTCCCCCTAAGTTTCTCTGGTATTGCCATAAACAAACAAACAGATTGTGGTGATTTTAAGATCATTACTTATTTTTAAGAGGGAAATATTTAAAGTGACCAGAATGCATCACTACAAAACCACAGTTAGGATAGGATTTTCAAAGACAGCTTTACTTCCTGAAATGTCCAACTCTTACAGTCTCTGGGCACTTAACTCCCTTAGGAAACCTCAGACTTCACCATTTTTGAAAAGGGGGAATGGGGTGCGAGGGAGCATTCCTGGAATTGAATTAGTTAAGACATGAGGGCTTCTGTTTTAAGGGCAGAGTTGAAGCGTTGTGTCTTGTTGGCTCTGTAAATCTGAAGACAACCAAGCTCTGCACACACAAAAAAGAGCCAACAAAATTTCAAAGATCAACACCCGTCACCAAATAGTCTTGGCATCAGTCTGAAGAATCGCCATTAAAAAAAATGAAACAGGCTCCAGTGCTAACCCACTCCACAGCACACCAACTAGGAAGGACTCTCTGACCTCACCTGGCAGGGGGCCATGGCGGGACTCTGGCACACAGTGGAGGAGAGGGGATGTCAGTCCATAAATTTCCATCTGGACTAGAAGATGGTGAGGATACGGGCCTCCTACAGAGGCCATGTTTCTGTTCTAGCTACTTGGAAGTCAGGGCACAAGTGGACACCAGGCATTTGAGGCCAAATCCTGCATTCCTTACTCAAGCAGGACTCCCATCATGCAACCAGAGCTTCTCTCAGAGCGTCAACCTTGGGCAACCTGTAGAACTGGGCACCTCAGGACTAGTCCCCTTCATTCCCAAATCACTTCTTCGCAATCCCATCCTTTATTGTTTTATCTACACATTCTCTTTTCAATTCACGCACCCCTCCCATGACGTCTCACCCCCACATGATCTCACGCACATTTACTATTCTGTCTTGCAAACAGACATATTCAGGCTAGCTTTGGATATGTTTTGAAACCTAGTTTCCCCACTGCCCTCGGATTCCGAGGCCCAGTCAGTCATCTTCAAAACTGCAACCATTTTACAGCTTCCCTTTTGAGTCTCTACTCCCCTCCACCCTGACCAAAACCCTCCCTCAAATACGTTTCCTTTCCTGCTCCCTCTAGCTTTAGAGTTTAAAGGTCTCATGTCATTCTGATTGCCTCAAAGGCCAATAATCTTTTCCACACCAGGAAGGAAAAAATAAAAAGACGAAGGCTTAGGTTCACTGACAAAGCAAAGCACACAAGGCAGGACCGGCACTTATGTAATGCCTGGTTTGTGGATAAGCAGATAGTTCTTGTCTTATTGCTCATTACTTGAAGTGCAAAAACAAATCCCAGCAGTAAGCATGCAATAAAATAAATTCCTAGGAACTCTGTCCTGCCATTAACTTTTTTTCCTCCAGCGTAATACTTGATTGTACAGATACGAAGGAAGGGAATGCTGAACAGCACCTCCTGTCCTCTCTACTTGTTGGGGCAGGAGACTTTGGGTAAGGAGAGAATATCTACCTGTAGCAACAAGCCCAAGCTCCAGTGACTTGCACAGCGCTCTACTGAAGATGCATTCAGAAACAGGAAGGGGGGGGAAAAAAATGGTCTACTTCCTGGTTTCCAGTGCAGAATAGCTGGGTTTGTCAATCAGAACTTTAAGAGCGCTATCAGAATAATAGATGGTGTTAAAACACATTGGGCAGCACTGCTCCACATGCATGATCTGCTGTGAAAGGAGTGTTACGTGCCCTTCCAGAGAATGAGGTATAATTTTGTGGCATTTCAGACCATGACTCTGAGGGGCTTTAAAGAACAGTAGGGATGGAAAGAAAAAATGAAAAAGAAAAGTAGTCATGGAAGTGCTAAACACCCACAGCGAACTCTGGGGCTGTGTGTCATTGGGGACTGAGGATTTACTAGTCCTGTCTGCCACCTGCCGCTATGCTAGAGCACACCAGGAGTCCGTCTCCCACTCCTTGTCATACCAGAGCAGACCACTAGCTCCCCTTATTGAGTCTTGTCTTCTACCTAAAGCCATACCAGAGCAGTCCCGTTAGTACAGTGTCCCACCCCCTGTCATATCAGGGGAGAACCCACTTGTGGTCCTGTCTCCCAAATAGAACAGAGGCCAAAGCCTAATGCTTCAGAAGAAAGTGAAAAACCACATCATGCACTGGGTCTTTGGGGTGAAATTCTTCTCTGACTCCACAAGTGATCACCCTACGCCCTGCTCCACAAGAACAGATTACTGCCATTTGGACAGCTAAGAACATTATCCAGTCCTTTCTCCAGAATCCATCCGCAACATTTGAGCTTTCGACAGTGTGATGCAAGACTATGTGCAGCATCAAGATACTGTATGGGAGTATGAGGAGAAACAAAACAATTGTCTCAGGTATTTGTATAGAATCCCAATGCCTGTCTGACCTCATTTACTCCTGTTCTGACACCGTATTGGAGCTGTTCCAGGATTAGCAGGATGCTCTGAGTTCAGGTACTGAAGGCATGGACACACTATTGACTGGCTTGCAACGTGACCAATCAGAAGAAGAGAAAAAAACAATCCCATTTCGGATCCAAGGGTCATGGGATTTTGCACAAATATTTCTCACCATCCAAGATGCTAATTTTCTCTCTCTCTTAAATATTGCTCATCAAAAGGCTTTTAATTACAAAGACATGCTGGTCTCTCCAAAGTTCAGGATGACTGTTTATTGCTTTGATTAGCAAGATAACAAGTGGAAGTCTAATTGTCTGTCACAGATGACTTTGCGTTCAATAAACGTAGTATCCTAAGACTGTCACTTTTAATCAAGATTCAATGGCACATCTCCAATGTTCGGGTTTGATTTTCAAGTTTACGAGTGCAATTTCACAGGCCTAGATTTCTAAAACAGGCACTTATGTTCGGATGTTCAATTCTAAACTGGGTTCTAAAATTTGTACTTTGGCACCCAAATAACCACTTAGGTGAACAAAATGCTAATTTAACAGCTTAATGGTAACACTGGCCCAGATTTTCAAAGGTACTTAGGCTCCTGACTTCTATTGAAATCAGTGGGAGTTAGGAGCCTAAATACCTTTGAGGATCTGGGCCAGGGTGCCTCAACTTTAGACTTTCTAACTTATTAACGAGCTTTGGGTTCACTGACAAAAAGCAGTTACTTATGGCTGCAAAAGCGTAGCCATAAGAAAAAAAACCTTTCAGTCTTCAATTCCCATTCATACAGATTAGTACAGTACTGGAGTTGGCCTGACATTCAGAGGTTATGGGTAGCCCCAAGTCCAGCCAAAGTCAACGGGATCCTCCAGTGCTCAGCACATGCCCTTAAGAAAAAGTAAGTATAGAGTATGGCTAAGTATGATCCGATCCCAGTACCACAATGCAACAAGGTGCATTTCTGAGCTCAGAAAAGGCCACACAAAGCCACAGATCAGCATAAAGCACGGAATGACTTTTATCCACCATCTAATTCATTAGAACTCCGGCACTGCAAAACTCTCCCTATGCACAATTGAGGCATGGTGGAAAAATCCCACCACCTCATCCACATTTGGGTTGTGCCGCTGCACTCCCTCTTTTCCCAGAACAAGCCTGAACAACGGCCAGAATGAATATTAAACAGCAATGGCTCCCCTCCAATAACCCGTTCAGAGACAAAAAAGAAAAAGAAAAAGTTTAAAAACAGCATCCGTAAGCAAACTGCTGTAATTGGTAAACCTGCTGCTTTCTCCAAATCAACCCTCATAAATGACCATAGGTTGCTCCTTCACTCTAAGGCAAACTGTAATACTCTGTCACATCTCCTCAACCAAAGTACTAACAAAAAAATCATGGAATTAACTGCTTCTCTGCTGTTGCACTGCACACAACCACCAATCCTCATCCTTCCACCTGCTTAGACTGTAAACCCTTCAGGGCAGGCATCTTCTCTAACTATTTGTCCATAAAGTGCCTAATGCACTTTGGGAACGATATAAATAATACATTTAATGGCAGAAAATTAGCAGAGAGGTGGGTAATCTTGTTAGTTTAACTCAGGAACCAGCTGTAAATCCTGCCAAGAGGCCATTACAGGGAGTCAGGACCATTCGCTGTCCAGGCTGCTGCTTGGAAATAATGGACCCTCCAGGGAACCACTGGGAAGTCTGCTAAAAATGCTGTAGTAAGTAGAAGATGTAGGTAGCCATATTGGTCCTCAATGTGATGCATTTTATTAGACCAAGCAGTAGCTAATGCACAAACTTTGGGAGCATAAAGATCCCCGAGAAGAATGACAGAAAGGTCTGACATCTTGTGAACTGTAAGCTACATACAGGTTTAACAAATTCACATTTAACATTTTCCATGATCTCAGTATAAACCTTTACCTACAGAGAACAGACAGCAGCACTCCCATTCCCCAGCTAGCTAGCTACCTAGCAAGGAACCAGCCTCCAGCTCCAAACCATGGTCACCACAACTCACCCACCTGTTATCTAATGGACCAGCCCCGCAAGAGCTGTGGTTCACGATGGGAAGCGTGCAATGACCTTCAGATATATTTCCTGGCCTCTATGGGAGAGCTTTTTAGACTGGCTCGGGGCCCAAAGCATGGGCTTGATTTATAGCTCCCTGATCCCCAACTCAAGGATCAGCTGTGGTTTCAGAGGAGGAGGGCCAAGGAAGGCCCTGAACACGGGCCGAGGCAGAGAAGTCCCTCGGTCCCACTAGCCTGAGCCAGTGATGCCGAACCCTTTAGGATACTGGCTTGGTCTCCACATTCCAGCCTCTGCAGCAACTTGCCAGCTTCGAGACTCGAGGGCTGCACCGCTCCAAGGGGGCTGGCAGGGCGGTTTCTCCTCTCGGTGCCACTGACTGGCTGAATCCGTGCACAGCCAGGCCGATGGGGAGGGGTCCTCCCCAGGGCTCCCCCCCCCACACCCTGCAACGCGCCGCGGGGGGGGGGGAGGGGGATGATCCAGCTGCAGCCTGGTGCCACTGCCCGGGGGCGTGAGGCGGGAGCCCAGGAGCTGCCTCCCCACGCCTGTTCCGGCTGCCAAGGGAGGGGAGAGCCGGCTCCCCTTCCCCGCGCACTGGGGCGGCCTTGTGCTCCTGGGCGACCTTGGAGCCAGGGCCCCCACCCGGCTCCCTGCCCTGGGCTGGGCGCCGAGGCCCGGCCCCGCCCCTCCCCCCTCAGCAGGGCGCCAAGCCCCACCGCAATCCGGCCCCCTCCCCGCGGGAGCCTGGCCGCGCGCCACACCCCTCCCCTCGCCGGGCTGCCAGCGACCAATGGAGGCCTGAGCTGGGGGTGGGGGCAGGAGGCCGGGCCTGAGCCCTGCGGCCACCACCCAGGCTTGGGCCTACACTAGGCCCCGCATCCGCGGCCTTTCCTGAGCGCGGGGGCCGGGGACCCCGCCCCCCTCGCCCCCGGGCTGGGCTGCCCGTGAAGGGGGTGGGGGGGGGCCCGGAAGTGCCGGGGAGGGGGGGGGCGCTGCCCCGCTGGCCGAGCTCCTCTCGGCGGCGCCTCCGCATCCCGCCCCCCACTCTCGCAGCGCCCTCGGTCCGCCATTGGCCAGGCGGAGCCGGGCGGGAAGGAGGGGCGGAGGTCCTCTTCCCATTGGCTCGGCCGCCTGCCTTTCAACACACCTCCCGGCCAGGGTTGGTTTGGAGGCGCCCGGCCTTGCGCGGGGCAACCTGGGAGTTGTAGTCCGCGGCCCCATTGCACCTGCAAGGCCGAGCGGGGCGGGGAAACTACAACTCCCACGAGCCTCCTTTTCCCACCCCTCTTTGCGAGTCTCCCCCCCCATTTGCTTGCAAGCCCCCCCTCAAAAAAACTCCCCCCCCCAGGAAGCACCAGCCCAGCCAAGTACAACGTATGCACGCAGCAGAGAATAGAGGGTGGGGGTGGGGGGGGACTGCATTAACTGCATGGCCGCAAAGTTATTTGCAACCCCCCCCCCAAGCTGCCCCCCCACCACATTGCAACCCCAGCACCCTGGACCAGCCTTGCTACTGCCAAATGCGGAGAGACAAGCAAGCAGATTAAAAACACCCTCCCTAGAACGTGGAGAAGAAAATGAATCCCCCCCCCCGCACACACACGCGCGCTGCTCACCCTCTGCCCCCTCCCTTTGCAACCCCCCCTCAGCTGCTATAAATTCTCGGACAAACCCCCCCCCCGCCCCATTAAAAAAAATCTGGAGGTTTATAAAGTTGGGGGGAGGGGGAATAAAGTAAAGCACAAGCCAGGGGGAGCGGGGCGGGGGGGGAGGGACTTTCCTCCTTCCAAAGCAGCCTCCCTGTTCGAGGTGGGGGTGGGGGGGGAAGCGTGGGGGGGGGTGGTGAAATGTCCCCTTGATTCAGCACCTCCCCACCCCAAAGGGCCACCAGAGACAGCCCGATCCCCCCGGAGTCTTACCTTGCTGGTCCTGGGGGTGGCGGGGCTGGGGGGTGGGGGGGGGTCCGCCTGGAGTTTGGAGTCAGTTCCCGGCCAGCTCTCCCTCTCTCTCTCTGGTGTTACTGCCCCTACTGTAACTGTATATGCAAAGCCCCGTATGATGCTGAACTCCCTTCCTGGTTTCTCTAAGGGCAAAGGGGTCCTCCCTTCTCTTAAAGGTGCAGCGGCCTCCCCTCGCCCTCCCCCGGCGGCGAGCCTCAGTGGAAGGGCAACTCAAACAGGCTCTGCCAGTCCCAGCAGACAGAGAGAGAGAGGGCAGGACACACTCCTGCCCCGGCTCCCCAAGAGATCCAGCCCCAGCGGGAGAGGGGATCTGCACCATTCCCCCGCATCCCTCCCTGGCTGCAATCCCTGTTATCTAACCCAGAGCACACTTGGGGAGAAGGGAGCTGTTGTGTTCCCACACACGCACACGTGCTCACACGTAGAAGCAGTTTGTTTGGTCTCAGCTGCTACAGCCCCCCCACCACCACCCCCCGGGAAGTTGGGTCATGGCTACAGGCATGGGGAGAGGTGGGCTCCGGTTCCCCATCTCGGCCTCGTGCTTCCTGGGGCCGCCTTCGCCCAGTCACAGCGGCCGCTCTGTGCCTCAGTTTACCCCCTGGGTACAACAGGGGTGACGATATTTGGAAAGAGCCTAGAGAAATGCCACTGGAAAGCGCTGGAGACCGCCGAGTACAAATTGGACTGTTACTAATTGTTCCCCTTTAGTGGCTGGAGTGGAGGGCTGGGAATCAGGTAGGGTGACCAGACAGCAAGTGTGAAAAATCGGGGCGGGGGGGTTATTGGAGCCTATATAAGAAAAAGACCCAAAAATCAGGACTTTGCCTTTAAAATTGGGACATCTGGTCACCCTCGAATCAGGACACCTGGGTTCTCCTCCAGGTTCAGCCGCTGAGCTGCTGGGTGACCGTGGATAAGTCACTTCACTGCTTCGTGCCTCAGTCTCCCCTTCCACCCTTTGTCTGTCTTGTCTATTTAGACGGTAAACTCTTTGAGGCAGAGACTGTCTCTTACTAGGTGTCATATTGGGGGGTGACACAGTGAGTGGTCGACAAAAAATCACTCACGCCCCTGAGGTAGCCTCAAGCAAACCGCCCAGCTCCAAAAAACGAGAGATGGGAAAGTCCTGTTATGCTGCCTCACCCCGTACGCTGCCCAATTACATTTTATTTACTAGCAGGGGTTTCTATAGTGCCATCAGATCTGACAAACATTAACCAGTTAACCTTAGAACAGCTCTTGGGTATTAGCACCCCCCAACCAGAGACCGAGTTACCCACACAGGAAGTCTATGGCAGATCCAGGATGTAGGTCCTGACAGATGTTCCTCACGTCGCTTAATGCTCTGCAGGAAGATGCTCAGATACTAGGGCGATGGGCACGGTCTAAGAACCTGGTGAACAGACTAGAACCAAGATCATGTGTGTCTCAGCCCAATTAATGGACCTCAATATATTCTTCCCGTTAGGAGGTTCCCGTATAAATTTTCAGTCTGCATTCAAGAAACTGTATACTATCTCACCCCTTCAATGAAATCAGAACAACCCGCCCTGTATAATCTGTACTCAAAGCTCAGACTGGAAAAAATTAACCAGTGGCACCTACTTGATGCCAAAATGAGACGCCTCACCGAGCAGCTTGTGCAGATGTTCACACTGTGATCACCCCCCCTTTCCTGTGATTTTGAGAAAATGCTTAGCACTCACCCCTCTGAAAATCAGGCCCACGTAAGGTATCTCTAACTGGCACCCCAACATTTCAGGGGCTCAAAATCACCCAACACTACTCAAAATCTTGGCCTTGGGTGAATAGTTGATGGATTCTAAGGCCAGAAGAGACCACGGCAATCATCTTGGCCCATCTCTTGCATACCATAGGCCATAGAACTTACCCCAAAATAATTCCTGTTTGAGCTACAGCAGATCTTTGAGAAAAACACCCAATCCTGCTTTTAAAATGGCCTGTGATGAAGAAACCACCACAAGCCTTAGAAAGCTGTAAAATGGTATGAAATCTGGCATATGAACTATTTGATGCCTATGTCTGAATGGTTGCTTCAGCTCTGTATAGGGGGGGAAAATATAAATAAAATCCTTAGAATAGTGGTGTTCAACCTGTGGTCCGCAGACCGCTGGGGGCCTGCAGACTATGTCTAAGATTTCCAAAGGGTTGACATTTTTTAGCGGTCCACAAATGAAAGAAGGTTGAAAACCACTGCCTTAGAAAAAAAGCACGATATTTGTCAAATTCATTATTCAATCACCTTTCACTGGTGCCGCCCCACGGTCTTTTTGGGAAAGCCTGCTTGCACCGCTGGTGAGGCGTGCAGTTTGGTAACGGAGGAGGAGATCTGGGGGTGCAAGTCCTCATGCTCAGTGCTGCCTTTATTTGGTGTTTCACTTAACGCCCCAGCTCTGAGAGTCATGTGATTTGGGGAGAAGCTCAGCTTTCATTTTAAAGTAAGTTTCTAGCTCCGGTGGTTGCAGGAAAAAGCTTGATAACGTGACTCCCCTTTACCCCCTTCCCCCCCCCCAAAAAAAATAGAAGCTCAAAACCTTATTGTTGTCTCATGTTTGGGGGGGGAGTGATTTTTGAATGCTTGGTGTTGGCAAAGTTACAAGTATAGAAATGCTCCTCAGTACTGATCAAGTGGAAGGGAGTAGGAACAGATGAGCCCATGGATGGCTTTTGGCCTTGCTTGGGTACAGCACAGAATAGCGTGATAATCAGCTCAGGACAGGGACATAACAGCTGGTATGTAAACTTGCTGCTTGTCTCCATAGTCTGATCACCCCTGGCCTTCTAGGGACTCCACCAAAGCAATTTAGGGCAACGAGCCCTTTAAGACTAAGGTAGGGGGTCGACTTTCTGCTGTGAAAGCCTTAAAATGTGGCATTCTGCCCCCTTGGAGTATCCAGCTCAGCAGACCTCCCTAGCTGTTACAAGTGGGTCTGGAAGGATTCAATGTTTATCAGTAAATGTCAATAAACATCAATTTCACCGCACACTTAATGTTTCCATTAACAACAACAGAAATGTACAGATAGGCAAAGTTAGGACAAAGCTGCCTGCAAACTTCTTAGAGTTTGATTCAAGGCTATTTATTTGGTATGTTTTGACATGTGACGTTGACAGTTTGTGTTTGAACATTTATAAGGCTTTAATTTTTTGAATCACAACATCAATTGTTAGTAAATAATTAGCGTCCGATTTCTCCACAACTGTGAAAATTTAAATAGCCAAAAATCGGGGGGCAAAAAGATACTTTACCCCATAATTTTATGCAACTGTGAAAATTTAAATAGATAAAAATAAATGCTTAAAAACAAACATCAACATTATCTGTTGAAATTAGGGGAAAAAAATAAAAATCAATTCCTGCCAAGCCCGGTTACAAGCAATGCCCTTTAACGATGCTACACTTCTACAGCGCGTTTCAAACAGACGAGTCGCACAGCATAGCTCCCCATAGCACTGCTGGAGTGTCACCACAGTCGGTGGGAGGGCTGTCGCCAACTGCTGCACATCACACCATACAAGAGATCATGGAGAGGTGGGGGGTGGATTTTGGCCAAGGACCCTGGTGATGACCTCTGCTTCTATAAACAGTATTCTGGATACTTTAATGTCCCCCCGTATATTCTGTCCCCCCTTTGCTTTCCAGATCTCACCTGAAAGAGTT